CTAAACGAGGACTGAATGGCACATACCATTTGGAGAAGAAGAAGGAGCTACTAGGGATTATTTGAGTAGGAGCCAATTAAAAAATGGCTTTTAAAAATATCCTAGATAGGCCCATTCCATTTAGCGTTTTTTAAACAACACTTATTCATGCCCAGTTGGTGATTTGTGATATAGAATTGCAATGAATTAAGGCATCTGAAAATAAAGAAATTAAACATGGCAAAAAAAAGGAAACTCTTGAATTTGAATTTTAATACGTTTTTCTGAGAGGCTCACCATTTTTATTATGCTTACTCCATGGCTTGCAGGGAATAGACAATTGGCGATAGAAGCACGGGTGAGTTATCAGCATCAGCCAGATTTTTTAGAGATAGATTTATTCTCACCGAGAGTAGAACCTCCGCCTTTCGAAATCAAATCGTTAACCTTTCTAATCAATATCATATCTAATGTTCTGAAGCAAATAACTGAAAAAATGAATTTTAGTGCTTCGGATAATTTCGTCATTAATATTGATAATAGCACTGATAAATACAGCATTAAGTGCATGGTGGATTTTTGTTGTATATAAATGCTATCGCTATTTTCAAGATATACGAAGCGAACGTCAGAAAAGCAATTCGTTTGTATCTTTCAATAAAAATGTAAAAAATTCTTCGTTTCAAATATAATTTAAATGTTTTGCTAGTAAAAACAGAATTTCCATTTTGAAACCATTCATCAGTTTTTAATATTATATACATCGTTAACGGGAATGAATAACAAATACTCGAAATCTCGAATCGAAGAACTGCAACTGGCGTGGCGTGGTTGACGTGTGGATCCCAATTACCAAATAATAAGTGATTCTCTGGACTAAGAGCTATTTAAATGCCTTGTCTTAGTGACCAGTGGAGGTACCCAAATCAGAGACAGTGTATATTATTAGATAACACTAAATGGTAAAATGGACCAACATTTTCTGCTTCCACTGGCCGCAGTGTGTTTCCACGTCTCCTATGTGAATACCGCATGACCGATTTATGCTTCTCTGAGACTCGTAGAGTGCTGGGCGACTCGTGATTTGGAAATCTCTCTTGTATTAGTGCATGTTAATCTTGTATTAGTGCATGTTAAGAATTATAAGATAGAAACAATGTCCAGTGCAAGCAGAAAGATGAAAATTTTCATCTTTGTGAATTCGTGGCAATTTCACAGAAGTTTTGCCAGATTGAAGAAAGCATCCTAGACGCATCCACTGGAATCGGAATTTCGTCCATCGCTTCGGCATTTCATATGGACATGAATCCAGATAACTAAAAATTGCATCAAGCAATGATGCGTTCATGAATTTCAATGTTTCACTAATGTCAGAGGCGAGTTTCACCTTATTCATTTTGATTAGGACGATTTTGTTATAGACAAGGAGAAAATAATTTCAGCTATAATCTTCGAGATCTATATTGCCTTGTTATGGACTGTTATGGATAGATCCGAGAGCTGGAAACCGGTATCCATAATCCCAAAATTCTATTGCATGGCTGAACATTTGTGTAGCGAAACATTTCTCTGGCGCTTGTCAATTTTTGCGACGATTGGCCATTAGTTCGAGCATTATATTAGCTCATTAGCCATTATATTAGCTCATCGTATATACAAATGATGATCTAAGCGGTTAAATGCCCTAATAAGTTCGATAATCTTCTTTAGTATAACTCTGTACTATTTTCGTTCCAATCATAAATTTTTTAAGTATCATTTACTTTTATATAAATTTTATTTATTTTTATATAAGAATATTTCAGTAATTCATCGTGAATTAAGACGTGTTCGACAAATATGCAAATTTCAATTTCAATAAGGTAAAAGTAAGGCTTTAAAGCAGAAAGCATATAAGTCAGTTGGCATTTTTTAAATACAACGCATAATTTGTAAAATTTGTTGCAAAATTTCAATAGAATAAAATCTCAATGCGTTATTTTTGGTGGCATTATTTCTGTCCAGAAGTTTTAACTCTTATGTTGTTCGAAATAAGGCTGTCCGAGCTTCTTTTCTTTTCATTAGTTACTTTGTGGTAGTTGGCCAAACTCTTTCGCAAGAAAGCTATTTTTGGCCAAAAATATAGATAGGCGACGAATTTTTAACGAAGAACTTAAAGGATAGGGATCGATTCTATAAAGCTTGACTTTAGTTGAAGTATAGGCCTTGGTCAACTTGTCCCTTCTCCCAGCTTCTATCAATTCTCCTTTAAATCCATCTTCTTATTATTAAAATTGATATTATTTTCTATTTTCGCAAGAACTGCATGGGATTTTTAGTGTGGAATATTAAATATTAATTTCCTTACTTAAAATTTTTGACTTATCACGAAGCATAAAATATAAGTCACAACTGCAAGGCCTCTGTAGATATTCAATGATTAATGATTAAAGCCATTCCTTATTTCTTATTTATTTGAAAGCTTTGCTATTCATTAATTCCTATATAAGATTAAATAAGATGAGATGAACAATGAAAAATAATTGGTTTCGCTGGCTACAATGCCCATTAAGGCATCAAGAACTTAGCTAGAAAATCACTTAAGAGTACGAATCCTCAATGCCACTCAAATTTCATCTCACTTTTGATAGCAAATCCTCCTTTATTAACGGATGAGCGTCGAACATAATACTTGGTCTCGGTCGAAATAATATTTGTCGTCAATCTGCACCTGGTTTTCACTAATTATCCCTATTTTATAAAAGATTTTTGCGAATTCTCTTGCGTAATTTTCGAGTAAAAAAAAAATATTATATTAAAAAATCTTTGAAACGAAAATGAAACCCAAAAATACCAAAAATTTAATTAAAAAATTAAATTTTTCCTTTTTCACTTTAAATTTTTTTAAGATAAAATTCTATTTAAGAATAGTTCATCACAATGTAAAAAGTTGCAAAATTTGAGAGGTGAAATACGTGAAAAGTATTTGCTTATAATGTAATAGTGATATCGAACAGCACTGATAATGAACTGCAATACCTTATCATATGATTTAAACAATCAAACAATTCGTATCAACAATTCTTAAACGAATATAGTTTCATTTATGCGTTATAATTTTTAATCATTTGAGGAAACTTTAAGGAAATAAAATAAGCAGGAATTTAATCTCAGAATGGCACTGGCGACAATTTACGACTTTTTACTTCTGCTTTCTTTTAATTACTTAATATTTTCAACTTGACAATTTGAAAAAATTATTTACTAAAATTATTTACATATAAATTATTTTGGAAATGTTTTATGCATATAAAAATTACCTCATACACCAAGTACCATGATTCCGTGATTTGTTTTTTGTCGATTGGTACTTGCAGACCTGTCGGCGCCTCCTATTTAAAATTCGCATGGCCAATCTTAGACAAATTTTTTGGACAGAAACATCTGAAATCCATTTATAATAATTTCCTAGACCAACAATTAAAAATCATTTTTAAAAGCGAAAGAAATGGAACTGTACCTAATGCGCTCCATTGCACCTAAGGAAAAGAACTTCAGTTATTGTAACGATGTATACTTTCTTTTCCAATTGGCACAATTTCATTTTCTTGAAATTTTATTATTTTTTAAGAGCTGAAATTTTTTAAGAGAGCAGTTATAATGTAGATACCCTCCAATTCCCTCTGAACTTTCAGTTTTTTTTAGCTTTCGATAAACTGGATAAAGCAATAAAAATAAAAAATACATAAAAACTACTTATTTAAATTGAATAATCTCTCATCGGATTAACACTATTTTCTATTTTCGAAGACGTACTAGGATTCTACTCTTTGAAGTAAGTCTTTCTTTTAGAAATCCGGCTGATGCTGGCGACTCACCGCCATGTAACTCACTGTAAAGAATTCGCTTCATGCGAAAAAGCCTGCTGAGCAAGTTTAACTGGAAATCGTTTTAAGGCAAAATAATTGCTTAATAAATATTGTGGAAGAAGCGAATATAAGCAAACCACTTCACATTATTTCATGAATGGAAATATTCCTTTAGAATTGAAGATTGAATCCTTTAGAATTTATATGAAGAATACTATAGTTTTGATAAGAAAGGGTAATTTGCCTATCATATAGCCAGCTGGTTATTCTGCTGAGATCATCCTGCAATGGAGATAGATTATCCGCTCTACCATGAGAACAATAAATTTTACAATCATCAACACAAAGATAAATGGTAGAATTTAATATCACTTTGGTAACATCATTTATATATAATATAAAAAGCAATGGCGTAATACCCGCTACCTTGGAGAACGCCAGATTTAACAGATGTCAAATTAGAATAAATTTATTTATTATCATTATTATTATTATTATCATTAAATTATGATAGAAATTTTAAAATTATCGGTATGTGTGGAATATTTTGAAAATTTATTAACCATTATTCTTGAACCTATTTTCAATATTACTGGAAAAACCTTTTTTAATAAATAATTATCACTGCTATTATTCGAAACAATATATCATTTCTGCGCTTTTATTTCACTTTTAATTAAAATCTACTAATCAACTCTGAAATTTTGGAATTTGAAAAAATTCAACCAATTCAACCGATATATGCAATTCATTTGTTTAATCAACTTGAAAAGCCATGAACAGATTATAAAGCCATTTATCACCTACTGCACAATAATATAAAATAATATATATAAACTGTCACCAAAATCAAAACAAACACTAACGAAATGAAATATTGAGAGAAAATTTTATATTAAAGCAAAATAATCTAACAGAAAGAAAGACAAACGATTAAAAGATTGCGTTTTACGTGAAAAATTGTGAAAAAAAACTGTGAAAAAGGAATGATGATTGAATGCCTGATACAGTTCGAGATCGTATTAAGTTATAAAATTTGATTGGTCAGAAAATCAGAATGACAAAACTTGTTGAAAATCTAAAAAAAGCTACAACGAACTAAAAACCTATCTAACCATTTTTCAAGAAGCTATGCTCCATGGTGCTCTGTTAAGGTACTGAAACTTCATTACTTTAAATTGACAATTCAAATTTGACATCAACAGAAGCTGAACGAGCAAGTTGCACAATGGTTGAAATTTTCACAACCATTTTAGCAGCTTCTTCCAAACCATCACAAGCGAGAATTCGTAACTGCGAATCAGCAATTAAAGCCTTTGCGTCCTCGACTCGTGTTCCTATATAACAAGATTTCAGAATTTCTGACGGTAACACGAGTCGAAAACTTTAGGTCGAAAAATTATAAATAAAAAAGCACTGGAGGCAAAACAAGGAAATATTGGATCAAATGAAAAGTTCTTTAAAATGATTCAAAATTAAAGAAATCTTCCGATTTCCAATTTAAAAAAATTTTTAACAAAAACAAAAATATTGAATACCTTGAAGACGAAGAACAATTGGAATTTTTAAATTAAGTTCCCTAGCTGCGGTCACGATGCCCTGTGCTATTACGTCACATCGCATGATTCCACCAAAAATATTAACAAGTATGGCATGAATCTACAATAATAAGAAAATTCAGTAAAGTGCTACATGATATAATGAAATAGGAGTAATTCAATTTTTTAATATAAAGTAGAAAAACTGAAGATAACACAAGTGGCAATTGAGATGTTCTATAAAGAATTACAGAAACCTTTTCCTTATTGGCTGTGATGATCCTGAATGCTTCAGTGACTTGCTCCACTGTCGCACCTCCGCCAACATCCAAAAAATTTGCAGGTTCTCCTCCGTGTAATTTTATTATGTCCATAGTGGCCATCGCCAATCCTGCCCCATTTACTAAAATAGTTTATTATAAAATATTATATCATCGATAGTAATTTTACAATCCTATCGAAATAATAACGAAAAAAAACAATAAAAGAGTACAAATTTAATGAAGATTACAAAAAAAATTATTGATATTGAAGATATTGAAGATATCAACGGAAAAGAAAAAAATAAAAAAATAATGAAAAAAATTTACGAAAGAAATTTGCTACAATTATCTAATTAAGTGGAAAATCTTATTTTTCTAATCTTATTTTAATCTTATTTCTAATCTTATTTTTCATATTTTTGGTATTTCATATAAAAGAAAATAAAATAAAATCATTTTGAAAATAAGATTAGAATCATTTAAAATCTTTATCTTTAGAATAAACCTAAATGGAACTAAAAACAGGAAATTCTTATTTTTATCAAGTTTTTGTTCCAGTAATATTATTTTCAGGCCTTAAATCCTATTCGGTCAAATCCTATAAATTTTTAAATAAATAAATAAACTCACTGACTATTATGTAACTAATTACAATTTAAGCAATGGTAGACACTTTAAAAATTTTTTTATTGCCAACAATGACAAAATATAATGCAGCCTTACCCATGCAGCCAATATCTCCATCCAAACTAATATAATTCAGATTGGCCTCAGCTGCACGCAATTCAAGGTGATCTGTTTGAGAACGATCTATCATCTTCGCCAATTTTTGTTGACGATATTCAGCATTATCATCGATAGTAATTTTACAATCCATACAATAAACTAAAGCGATAAAAATTTAAAATAAAAATTTAAAATTAAAGATAAAAATTTAAAATAAAATTTAAAATTTAAATATTACTTTCAATTTGAATGATCGAACACTGTATCATCTATTTTTTATTTCTTGAACGTGTCTTTTTTTTATGTTTGAAAAAGAAAATACCTTCACCACTGACATCCTCTGCCAAAGGATTTATTTCAATAAGAGTACCATCGATTTTTATGAAAAGATCATATAATTTTTTAAAGATATCCATAGCTTTAGCTTTACATTCATTCTAAAATTAAAAGATGGGATGAAATAAAAAAAAATTGTAAAATCATAAAAAACGAGGATAATAAAATTTGCATAATATTTGGATATTAAAAGAATTTTTATAAAAATGCGTATTATACAATTTTACTCTTATTTTACAAAATTTTAATAAGGGAAAGATAAAGAAAGAAAAAATGAACTTACACTGAAACCCATTTTATCAGCGATTTCATTCGCAATCTCAGGTGTCATACCATTCGAAATATTAATTGGAACTTTGATAATAGCTGATGGGTCTGTTGTCGCGACTTCTTCGATATTAACACCACCACGAGATGAACCAATTATAATCGGACCCTAAAGCGATTTACGAATTTCGAAAATACGATACTATATGATATACGATAATAATATTTGAAAGATAAAATACTTACAGCACTTTGACGATCGAGAGTAATCGAAAAATAATATTCACGCCGAGTGAACAATCGTTTACAAATCATGACCTCTCTACATAATTTTCCATGTCCTCCAGTCTGCTTTGTAAATAAACGTGATCCAATCATCATTTTCGATTTTTCATATGCTTCTTCAGGACTGGAATCCTATTTTTTTTATTTTACAGAAAATTCTTTGAATATTTTTGCAAGTTGGAAAAAAACAATGATAAAAAATAAATAAAAATTGAAGAACTGCAGAAGCTATAATAAAATTTTTAAAAAACCTTCAAAACTAAAAGAAACAAATCAAAATCAAATTGTAAAAATTAATGAACTATTCGTTATTTTGTTCAATTTCTATTCACTTCCAATTATTTGCGCAAGTTATTGATATTATTATTCATATCCTAACACACTAGACTTCGTTCAAATAAATTCTTCCTCTTCAAGTCCAAATTAAGAAAGAAATAATTTAATAATTTGATGGTTCATTACGACTTGCCATCGTGCATAATAGATTTATAAGCTTACCATAAAGTCCAACAGACCCTCATCTTAGTATAACTTGAAACAAGTAGAACGGATCTCTATCTTTCGAGAGAAATTGGAATCAGAGATGGACAGGACAAAACATAAATCGCGAATGATTACCGTGAATAATTAATATTTCAAGAATGAATGCGCAAAAAGTTTTTCAAGAATTGTAAAAGCTGAACTTACGAAAAAACAATTTGAACTCCTCCTTGAAGGCCCGAATCGAAATATCCTTTGCCACGACCACCAGTTAATACTTGTGCCTTAACAACATAATCTTTACCTTCTGAAATATTCCATTATTCAAGTATTATCAAGAAAATGAATTTAAAAATTCAATAAAGAAAGGGATTATTAATATATCATAAATATCACGCCTTATTAAATTCAAAAAACATACAAAAAATTAAAAAACCCAAAAAATAAAAAGAAGTTATAAATAAATGAACAAAAGAAGAGATGAAATGAAATACCAATTTGTTTGGCGAGTTGCATTACTTCTTCTGGAGTTTTTCCAACACCATAAGATGGTACATTTATATTCGCTTCTTTTAATAATGACATTCCATTATGCTCATGCAAACTAAACTGACGCACTGAGTAAGCCAAAATCTGTAATTTACAAATTTAAACACAATATTACACTTGATAAATTGACAAATATAAAGGTAATGAGCCAGAACAGATTTTGAACACTACATCAATATAAAACGATAGAAAAAAGAGTGGTTTAAGTCTTTTATGGATATTAGATCATTCCAGAAAAGCTATGGTACGATTAAAAGTTTAGGGTAGCAACCTGTTAATCAAACCTAAGTTGGAAGTGGTATGTGCAATGTAAGATGGAAAATGATATTCCTTTTTTATGCTGTTAATAAAAATAAAAGAACATAATTCAAAACCTTATCGAATGCCTTTAAAAATGAAGTTGCCTTCAAATGAAACATCGAAGAATTGAGATCGAGCACTAAAATACAAAAAAATTAACTTATTACAGATAATAATGAGAAATTACTGATAAGCAACTGATAATGTACCGATAAAACATAAAGATAAAAAATAAAAAATTATAAAATAGAAAACAACGAGATATTCCTATCGATAATAATAATGCAAGGTGCTCTGATAATTTTTCCTTCTTAAATTTTTTTTATTTATTTTATAAATTAGAAAAAATAGTCTAATTAAAATAAATTCACTTTCAAGTGATATTTATAATATGGAAAAAAGAATGGAAATACGAGTGATATTCAAACTTCTCAGCGAAATTTATGTGGTACAAGAGACTCACTTCCTAATATCTGCGTGGTACTGGGAATTCATTCCCTAACTTACCTTCTATCTCCTAACTCAATCTCTTCTCAGTAGTTACTTAGTGGAGTCAACCAAATGATAAAATCAATATCTATTAGAAAAATATAAAAAGAATTTTAAAAAGTTCCAAATTTTTTGCGCTTTTTTCGTTTCTTCTTGTTTTTCTTCTCTTTTTAACCTATATTATCTTTTCGATAAAAATTTGTTACGTATCCTCCGTCTCCTTCGCCATTGCAGTGCTACTTTCCCAACTGCTGTCCACGTAACCGAAAAGTCACCGGCAAAATTATCTGGCTAAGTACCAAAAATTCGTTCAAGTAATTCCTCCAAGGCAAAAACAAAAGCATTACCCTGTAATCACTATGGTATAACTCGTCCACATTCAGCTTTTAGAATTGCGGCGAAAGTAAGACATGACAATTGCGCGATGTAAATTTTCGCAAAAAGTGATTGTTATAAGCGGAGCTCTATTATTAAAAGTGAGGTCCATTTGGCTGTCCATTTCTCGTAATTTTATCCCCAAATGACTCTCAGAAGAAAAATTCAGCGACTGTGGAACCAAATGAAGCCAGAAATGATGCTTAGGGCGCAAAAAGAGCGATAAGAATTCATTTGCAACACCAATTTACAATAATTTTTGCATTTTTTTCCACTTTTATTAGCATTTCTAGTTCAACTCGCTGCGCTGGTTTGTCGGGCCGAGCAAATTTTGCCAGCGAGTCGTTTGGCGACAGAAATGTTTCTCGGATTTTGAAAGACGAATTTATTCCTGCCAAGAGTAGGAATTCTGGCGACCATGAATGAGGACAGCAAACCATTGCGCGCTAATTCTCTGATCTTCTCTTCTGCAAAAGAGGATGACCTAAATCCACTAAACGGGCCACTGGGAATTATTTAATTGTTATAAAAGATTCATCCGTTAATCGATGTTTTGTTTTAAATTTTTCAAGACAACCAAGAATGTTCAGTATGTCCGTTTGATATATTCGTCGTCTTCGCTAATATCGGTAAGAGGGACGGATAGCCGAGGGGTCGCGTTGTTGCTTCAGCCATGCGAGTTCGCTCTATATGTTCACTGCGAGAGTAGAAGTGACGCTGGTGATTGTACCTATATTTCAAGGGGCCTTTCTAAGTGACGAGTAAGCGGGGCTGTCTACTAAACAGGTTTGCCCTTTCTGAGAGTTGAAAACTTACATCAGCATTATTTTTCAAGAAAAATTCTCGCATTTTTCTGCATTAAAACTGTACTGTTATATTGTATGTTTGCAAATAATATTTTTTCCAAAATGAACAGCAATAATTTGGCGACTGAATCTATCAGTTTTTCGTTCAGAACATTCATTCATTTTTGGTTGAATTATTCCACTAACTTGTCGAACCATAAAAATTTTGAATCATTTGGCTAGAAGTGGGTCACGAGAACTATGCAAAGGCAGGTGCCACTGCTAGGATCAGCAATAACCCGCTGGGCTATCCTATTAATGTCGGTTTTATGGACATTATCACCAAATTGCGGTAATTCTTCTCTGCGGTAGGTAGGTTGTCAATAAAAATTGCAGCTATATGAAATTAAGAAATTACGAAGCAACGAAGCAATTTTTTTTGTTCTAATGCGGATCCACAACTGTTTCCCAGGTTTTTTTGAAGCGACAAATATCTCAATAAATAATTTCAAACATCTCAAAAATACTTTCTGTTTTTTTTATTATCAGTGGACGATAAATATAATGGCTATCAAGAATAGAGGTTTTTAATTTGGGACTCACTGGAGGTCCATGAACTCGGACCTGGAACCTGGACTGACCTCTATTTTTGCCTTCGGCGAGCTGAATTAGATAATATTTCCTCCAGTTATTAATATAATCCATATCAATCATAGCATTTCATCATTCACAAAAATCGCTGGTACGGTATTATTTTTTCAGCAGTTGAGAAAAAAGAAAAATTTATAGAACTTTTCATAAATCCGCCATATTTGCCACTTTTTTCCTAGGACCTTTTTTATTTTTGGTTGGATTCGCTATCTTATCGGACCAGACACATTTTTGCAAAGCAGTTATTTGCAGAAATACAGGTGAATCGTTCGCCAGCATCACCTAAAACTATGGATCCAAAAAATATTGCATTAATTAATTAAAAATTTATTATAAAAAATATTAAGGCATTTAATCAATTTATTGATTGGACCAAGTAAAAACTAAAAATTTGTCGATTTTCTTTACTTTTTGCAAATATTGATAATTTGCTGATTTGCAGTGATACAATTCTTTTAAGCGATACCATTTCATTTTTTTGCTAAAAATAACTAATATAGATGGAATTTGTCGAAAAAAATCTATTAATTATATGAATTGAATTCTTCTTCTTCTAACAGCTCTCACCAGCTTCCAGCAATCTGATGCCATCGTCGACATTCCTTTTAGTAATAGAAGCCGTTCCTTTTTCCATCGTCTAAGTCCATATATTGCTGGTCCACCTATACGTTCAAAATCTTTCCTGACCGTATCAGACCAGGTCTTGATTGGCCCACCTCGCTTTTGACGCAATCCATTAGATGGTTTAAGAAATAACGAAATATGCGACAACTTTTGTGGTGGACGACGGAGAACATGCCCTAATCACCAAAGGCGACGCTCTTGATAACATTATTAATACAGGTGGTGTTTGAACGAAGATGGATGCGATCATGTGATATTTTATCTGCTCGACGAACTCGTAAAATATACCTTAGACAAGAGTGGTCAAAGATAGATAGCTTCTTAATATTCTCCACTCTCTAGGAACTGAATTACTTTTATTACTAAAAATTTTCTGAATTCATTTTTTTTAATGCAATTATCATTTGCACCATTGTAAGGCAGTTCGTTTCGTTGCTATCGTGTGATCCTTACTTCTTTAGGAAATAATCATCACCATCTATTGAAAGAAAATTTCTTCGATGGTTTTTTCGTATTCTACTAAATCTATTGACTTTTACTTGTAGTGCTTTTTCGAAACAATTTTGAGGTGTTGTCAGGCTGTGCTCTTCTAATTAACTATAACTCGGTTGGAATAACAACGGACCGAAAGAAGGCAATAAAAATCCACTTCTGCTCGAAATATACCATTATCTACTGCTTTAAACATTGACTTGAAGTGATAGGACTCAGTTAGTTATTCATTTTGAGGATATTCTCGAAAAAATCGCTCGTTTAAGCAAACGCCAGTTCATGTATAATCACTTATCTCAATTAATTGCGGCATTTGCTTACAGGGAATGTCTATCGACGAAAGATTTCAAGCAGCTGTAAATATTGTTCAAAAGCTGCCTAAAGAAGGTTTCAATCCATTTTTTTCTAAGAGCATTCTTACATTCTTGGTTAGGCTTCGCTTGACAAATTTTGCCAAGAAATTAGTTGGCAGTCACCAACATCAGCTGAAAAGCAGGTTAACTTGGCCGGAAATGAAACCCTAGCATCTACGCTGTGAAGTGAAAGCAACTGCCAATTGAGCCTTCCCTTTCTCAGGTGCACTATTCGACTTAAAAATCGCTATTACTTTATATACTTACTCAGGTCCATTGAAAACAACAAACGATCAAAAGCTACTTTTTTACTCATTATATAAGCAAGCATGCAATGGAAGAATAAACTCACCGCAGCCGTCAATCTTCAATTTTGTTGAAAGGGCAAAATGGTTAGAATTTAGAAATTATCGAGAAAATATCTTAAAATTTTTAATATTTATTAACGAGCGAGAAATTGCGCGCGTCCACTCCGTTTTTCAAGTATTTTTTATATTATTTTTATTCCAATAAAAAAATTAAAAATTCTTAATTTTTTATGAAGAATTATTGATGTTATCTGAGCCGAAATTTTTCATAAAAATTTTTGGTTAACTCGGTGGCTTTTCGAAACTGACAGATTTTGCCGAAGGTTCGTTCACTCAGCGATAGAAGTACAGGTGAGGCGGCAGCAGCACCTGGATCTCTGGAAGGTAGTTTTACTCCTTTCAGAAGTAGAGCGCCAGCATAGCACTTCGATGAACTTCTATTCTAATTCTTAAAAGAAATAAATGGTGTGACAATATCGTAAATTCAGAGAAAAAGCCAGAGTTTTCGTAATCTGAATTCTTACATGAATGAATATGAAGGAAAACATTATTAAACGTAGAATTTTAGGCCAATTGATTTGATCTATTTATCGGGTTTTAATCAAACTAACAGTCTTCCTAAAATTTTAATTCAAGTCTAAAATCTTTTAGACTAAAATCTTTTCGCTGTTTCCTGTTTCTATAATTTATTTTTTATACGACTGGAATAAGGTGGCTTAGTGGGTTGTTGCTCTCATTCTGTGGTACCAATGCTGCGATTCCAATTTCGCCACGATTAAACCTTCCAAAAAATCGAGACGCTACTAGTGACCCTCAGCTCCACTTCCATCGCCAAGTGATCGATCCCTTGCCAAAATCTATCTGATCTAGCAAGACAGCCTAGCAAGCCTAGCCAAAAATTATGAACGCTCTTAGCTGGAATACTTTAAAAATCAGCCATCAGTGATTCATTTCTTGAATTCATTTCTCTATAATTGTCTTTCAATAAATTTTTTGGTTGGAACAACGAAACGGTCAATATATTCAACCATTAAAAGTTATATTATTTCAACAATATTTCTCGCCTCAAAAAATATTGCTGCTAGTGGTTTACTTGCACTTTTACTCGCAGCTCGAACGAAAGGATTCAACCTTAGCAGTCACTGAAGCCAGAAAGGATAAGCCAGAAAAGCAGATTGTACGGGAAGATATGATACTGTGTAGGATAATCTCAACATTTGCTTTTTGTATCGATGTTTTTATTAAAAATTGTTCAATTTAAGGAATTCATGGAATGAGCTCGGAGATATGGCTCAAAACGATGCAAAAATTAAATACATTGAAGCATTGCAAAATATTTTCGATGAGGCTGCTGGAACGATAAATATTTTGGAATGGTTGACAAATACTATCAATGATCCTAATTTATCAAAAAATTTTGAGCTAATCGGAAGATCTGTAAAGTAAACAACTATGGTACCAATGACCTAAGATGATTTGTAGCATTAACATGATATAGTAACGTTTTTTTTAATTCTGCTTTCACTTTGAAAATCCCTTTTCAATTTCCATAATGATAACAATACTTCGGCTGTGGTGAAACAAAATCCCTTTTCAACCCCTCAATTCATTGGTACCATAGTCACCCAAAATCAAATGAGCCAAGATTGTTGCAAAATAAAATTTCTCTATTCTTTGCTTTACAAATGATGCAAAATGTTATGGAATCATGGAAAAATTTCAACGATGGGAAATAATGTAATAATCAATCCCTTATGAATGCAAAAAGGTTTGCGGAATTGCAAGAAAATTATTAAATTTTTATTTAATTTTTATTTGACGAAAATAATCAAACAGTTTCGGCGATTTATTTCTTTCAATAAACCTTAACCCTTCTTTAGAAAATCTTTCAACCAAATAATGTTTAACGAACGAACATTGAATCACCAATAAAATTTAGGATTAGATTAACCAATTTCAGTTTATGTTTATTAAATCTCTTATTAAATTCCTTAATGCTGTACCAAATTTCGATGACAATTTACAATTTCTTCATCGAAAATTAAATTCAGTTTAATCGCAATTTTAAGAATGAATTTTCGCCGTCGCCGCAAAATGCAAAAATTTGCAAAAAAGAAAGACTGGTTTGACTCGCTGCACCGGCCTTTCGGACTAGAAAAATATGCCGGGCAGACGACTGAAGAACGACAGAAGTTGAGTAGCCAGCATCACGTGGATTTCTTAACAGGCTCACTCGTGCCGAATTACGGCGCTCTATCCGCAACCACCCGCTGAGTCACTCTATTCTTCTTTTCTCCGTTAGGCGACAACCTGACGAAGAGCGGTGTCTGCAGACCTGGACTAAATCTCGATTCTTAATTTAATAATAAATTTTATAAAATAATAAATTAAAAAGATTTGGAGGAAAAACTGGAAATTCGAATTGCGATTCGAAATTGACATTCGAAAAGAAATCGTCATATTGGTCATTATATTAGGTTTGACAATGAGGCTACCAAATATCAGTAGAAGACTTGCTGAATTAATTTGCCATTGGCCATTATCAGTATTATATACTAAATACCACAGCATATAGTAATACAATATTTTCGTCATTAATTTTATTAATTTTATAAAGCATTTATGGCAACAAAGAAATAAAAAAGTGAGACTTTAGAGATCCCCAAGACTGGATACATGGAAAAAAAGTGAGTTTAACAAACCGTTACGATACGTTTTTTTCTGAACAACAAAATTTATTTTAAATTTACATAGGTTAAAAAGGATTACCAAGAAAAATCTTCAAAAGGAAAGGAATATCAGTGGAAGACAAAAAGTATTTTAGATTTACCAATTTTATAGGAATTTCACCTCTCTCAATAATCTGAGTTGTTGTTCCTAAGTAAATCTCCAACAACTATTTTGCTATTTATTAAAAACAATGAAAAATAAAAAGAATGATAACATCAATGAAACAAACAGTAAACGTTTTATGTCCACAAGACAAGATAAATTACAAAATATAATCTTTGATCAGACAACAAAAACAAAAAATGGAGATATTCATTTAATGAACATAGAATATGATGCCGCTAATAAATGCACTGATCTTATCATTTTATATGTAATATAAAATAGAAATATAATTTTTAATAAGAATTTTTAATAGGAAAACACAAAACGTAATACTCACTTAACAAACAAAATTAAAGGGATTGAATATGGAATCTTTAAATTAAAAAAAAATATTAGAAATGAATATTCGTTAATGTTATTTATATCTTTGTTCTATTTATTTTTTTGCATTTATAGATGCGTTTGGTGCTTCTAATTTATACCCATTGATTTCACACCAACCAAGCGGATAAATATTATTTGACCTTAAAAAATTTTAAATTTCTCTAACAAAAATTTAAATAAAAATGGCAGAATTTTTGCGATGAGTTTTTAACTGTTTCATTAATTAATTGTTTTATTTAATTTCTCTTCAACTCATTTTTGAATTTAAAAAATTTGAAATAGAATGCATTTCAAAATGAAACTATTTCCGAATAGAAAGTTGAAAAAATATGGCATTTTTCTACAGTTTTGCTTTAGCTACAATGAATCAAAGTAGAAATTTGAAAAATGCGAAAAATAAAATATACTGAATAATTGAATGAAATACCTATAATCAAAGAGTTGATCATATGAAGAATCCCACCCATCATATCTTATTTGAAGAAGACGACCCTTGTGACCAGCTACAGTTGCAACACAAATAAGATATGGCTCACACATGTCCACAGCTTCGAGCTTAGCGCCAATCTAAATAACCTGCATTATTTACATATTCAGTTTTTCATTTATTTTTTAACAAAAGTTTCGATTCATTCAATTTTTTAAAGTTCATTAAACTAGCTATTCTAAGAAAATTATATGAAAGTTTAACATGTCAATTCTACAAATCAGAAAGAAAACTATAAATTACCTTGAAATTGTTTTTCATAAGATTTTCATCAGGGACTGCATGAAAAAGTGATTCAGGAGCAGCTATGCTCTGCGTCTGTTGAATATATGAAATCCAATTGAAAGAATTACCTGAAAGCAAAAGCATAAAAACTGCTGGCTGTTTATTGCGTCATGAATATTTTTTCCTTTTTACTATAATAATGCTTCATAGGGTACCAATAATGATAGTGAATTTATCTGAAAAAATGAAAAGCAAAAAAATAAAATCAATATAAGGAAATGGAAATACCATCTACTGCTGGACCCTTTAAAGGGATTCCATATTTCTCAGCATAGCCAACTGGAAAAAGCAAAGGCGAAGAAGAATGGATAGGAATAGCGTCTTCATCGATTTCATGTCCATCGAAACCGATCTAAAAGAAATTATAATGGACTGCAAAAAGGAAAAAATATTGATTAATTTATATTTTAATATAATTTACCATAATTTTAGGCTAAATTTGAATCCAACAGGAACTAATGGGCTAAAATTACTATGTGCATTTACTAAACTAAGGACTCATGGCTTTTTTATTCGTACTATTAATTACTGGAATACCGAGCGATATAGCTTGCGCGTCATCTTTAGCAATCTTTAAAAAAGGATTAGATAATATCATTTATGATATTATTTAAAAAGTTCACATCATGCAAAAAGTATGAAATCTCGATTTTTTACCATACGATTATATATAATACAGTTACTTCTATATTATTATATTATTTGTACTATATTATATTATTTTGTGATTTCCTCTTTATTTCCTCTTTAAATTGTTAATTGTTAATTTGCCATATTTTTTTCATAATATTTTATCATAATATTTTCTTTTTCTTTTTTTTTTCATTAATTATTATTCGTTATCATCACAAGCACATGGTGGCATTTGTCTCCCTATGGACGAGTTAGCAGCTTATTTGCTTTATAAGATGGTAAATTCAATAACCTTTAAGAATCCTTCATCCATAATCTTTAATACTGTAGCCACTCGTAATTCTTTCCAAGTATCTAAAGGATCAAGTACTTCAAGTTTCATACCAATTTTCCACACATCCTTATTATCATAAGAATTTTGAAAACCATAGTGATTGTTTGCAAACTGTGAAGGCTTTGCATCTTTTGTTTCAAAAGGCACTTCAGAAAAACCCTAAATAAAATATAAAGTTATATTCAAAATAATATAATTAACTGAATAACAAATAATACCTATAATACTTAAAATAAACAGCTAAAAATAAATGGCCGAAAAAGATAAAAAAATAAATAACCTACAGTTCTTAAAGCCTTCACTATTTTTTCGCAATGTTCTTTATAAGTTTTATCCGCTTTCAGTTCATAACCGACATTAATCGCCCAACCAATATGAAATATTAGTGGTGAATTCTCATCCAACCAAATTCCTTCTACTATCTAAATAACCATTTGAAAATAAACCTTTTTAACGACGCTGATATGGATAAATTACAATCGCAGGTATTAGCATGGATACCTGACTATCTTCTTCTTCCTCTCCTGCTTTCGAACGTCCAGAGCTTTTTTTATCGACAAAAACTTGAAGACGATTGCCAATAATATTACGTATAATAGCTGGTCGCACACGAGTGGAAATTCGTGAATCCAACAATTCAACTCGTTCACCAGACTGAAAATCAACTATTATCAATTTAAAGTTTTATTAGAAGTAAGAGAAAGCTAATTTTTTAATCTTCGTCGAAGAAGCATTACTACTGAGTCATAGCTGCTTTAAATAGCACAGCAGCATAGTTCATTCTCTTTTCAACTTTGTTTAATATAAATTTATTTAAAAAATATCCAATGAAATGAAAGAAAAAATGAATTACTTCGGTGAGTTGAAAATAAACCTTAACGATGCTGAAATGGATAAATTACAATTGTAAGTATTACGCATATTTGCTAAACCCTGTGATGATTGGAATCAAAAGCGAGGAGGACCAGTCAAGACCTGAACTGATACAATCAGGAAAGATTTTGAACGTATAGGAGCGATATATGGACTTAAACAATGGAAAAAGGAATGGCTTCTATTATTAATATCGATTGCGACGGACAGGGCAGCTTGGAGACGTCTTACTTTTGTAGCTAGTGAAGCCAGCCTAACCAGTAATGGCGGGAGCTGTTAGAAGAAGAAGAATCTCGCGGTACCTTGAATTTGCATTTATGAAAAATTTGCCGCTGCATTTCAGTCCAGTTATAAAAAATTGTTTTATGATTGTTACACAAATTCAATAATAAATATTGTGACCAATCTTCCTGCCTGTCAACAATACTCTCAGGAGGAATTAATGCTCGGCTGACAGCATTTTCAGAGGAAAAGCCTATAAAAATTTGAATGGGAATAAATTTACAAAAGACGTACCACAAAAAAAAAGAAAGAATTATAAATTCCAAAAAAGATATAATTTTAAGCCAAAAATTAGTGAAATTTTAGCCAAAAGAATGATTTTAAGAAATTTGCAAGAAATTATTCTCAAAAATTATTGAAATTAATTAATGACGCTAAAATTTAGAGAAAAAAACTTATAAAAAAAGTCATAAAAATATCACAGATAGAAAAAATGATCTACAAATACAAAAAAAAATTTATGAATGACAAATTTTATTCTGTACACAGAACGAAAATAAAACACCGAAGAAAAACAAGAAATAGCCAGTACCTACGTAGTGTAAATCCGAAGAAGCAATACTGATCCAAAAATCATAGCATTCATCTCCTTTTTCATCCATACCTTCGAAACGTAAAAGTAGACGATAGCCAGCCATCTTTAAGAAATGTCAGCAATTTAATGACCTTACAAATTAAAATATATTATATGATCAACTGAAACAGAAATAAAGGAACAGCAGCAATTAAACTTTCGCTTTTTTCATTTTCTAGATTTTTCAACAATATTATTGATAGGACTAATTTTTTTCTTTTCCTTTAATATTTTTTACTCCAACCTTAGTTTTTTCTTTTTTTCCACCTATCTAGTGAACAGTAAATTGGTTTTATTATTAAGTAGAGTGATAAATAAATCTAATTTATTATATTTGATAAATACTATAAATCTAACTTCACCTAGGTAGCGCCTAAGAGCGCCTAATTTTGAACTATCAAAGGCTTTAAAACTATTTTTGAATATTTTTGAGTTTGCCAAATTCAATGCACCACTGTCAAATTCGATATTTATATGCCTTTTTGATTTTTTCTTAATTTATATCATTATAATCAATCTCAATACAATTAGTTCGAAAACAAAAATTACCTTAATTATTCTAGCAAACCAAAAAAAAATCTTCGAAATATCAGCATATACCGAATAATCGTTATCAAGCGCAACCTCAACCTTAAATTAGCGCTTATTAATTTGTCATTAAAAAAAAAATCAAATAAGAAATAAATATTCTATAATTTTAAAGAATTCTTCAAAAAACAGTTTAAAAAACATTCAAAAGAAATTTAGAAATTTGAAAGAAAAATATGACCCGAATGCCAATAAAATCACATTTTTTCACAACATCAACGAATGGTACTGAATGAAAACTCGAAATGGGAACAGCGAATTCACTACAAAATGCATCGTTCATATCATCACGTTTTGCCATTTCAAGAAGAACATTTTCCAAATATTCATTCCATATATAACTTTCCGTTATTTCTTTATGAATATTTGCGCAAAATTGTTTAGTGAAATTTTTTGGAATAGGTCGAAAACGCTTTTCTTTTTCCATATTTTCCAATAAAACTTTCTCTAAGAAACAAAAAAAAGCAAAATTTTACAAAAATATTAAAATAAATGAAATGTTTATGATTATTAAAAATAAAATTTATCAGTGTAATAATGAATTATTAGAATTCTTTTATATTTGAACTAAAGTATTTTAAAACTAATTATTATTAAAGTCATTAATTAATGTTAAATTTTTATAATTTTTTGAATTATTTTGTCAGGTTATAATAATAACGCTATATTATATAGTAAAATTATATAGTTATAATAATAATACTATAGTAATAGTTATAGTAATATAAAAAGTAAATATTAGAAAAACAAATTCAATTTAAAACTTAATTATAATTTAATTAGAAAAAAACAAAGAAGAAAAATCGCGACAATATCAAGATTCGAACTCCAGTCTATGGGTCTCTAGTTCGATAAACTTTCCCATCTTTTAGCAGTCAAACTGGCTGTAAAGATGAATCCCTTAAGTCAGAGAATCACTTTGAGCCCCAGTATCAATCAGTATTTTACTCCTATCAAAGAGCGAGAGGAAAAACTCATTTTCTATTCTCTAAATGTGTTGTTCACCAATCCCAAAATACCACTTTATCCTAGTCGTTAACAATATTCTTTTTTTTTGCATCTTATATTTTCATAATATTATAAAACTCAAACAATTGATATTAGCAATAATTATCGGCATTCAACAGGTGTCCAAATCAGTCCACAGCATCATATCACAGATCTTGATTAAGCTGATGATGTAATCCTTTTTGTTGACAGCAATGACAAAATGCAAATAATGGTAAATAACGTATCAGCAACTGCAGCGAAAATCGGACTCAGATTCAATGCAAATAAAACGAAGCCTTTTAGTCTTATGTGCAAGAAGCTAATAAAATATCTCTTTTTTTAAATTTATTCCCGGTTGAGGAAGTGCCCGATTTCAAATACCTTGGGTCCACTCTAATACCAAATGGTCAGGCAAAAGATGATATTATAAGCCGGATCACGGCAGCTAGAAATGCACTGTTCCGATTAACGCAACCTTTATGGCGCCATCGCAAAAACGAACCACAGAAACGAAAGTCCGCATCTATATAGACGTGATTCTTTCGATCTTGCTATATGGCCAATGAGAGTGGAGGATATTAAGAATAATGTAGTTCTTTTTACTTACAGTTGTAATGAAACACAAATAATGTTAAATAATGTGTCAACAATGTACTGCAGCGAGAATCAGACTCAAAGTCAATGTAAATAAAACGGATGTGTTTTCGTCTTATATACAATAGCCAATGAGAGTGGAGGATATTAAGAAGTTATTCTGCCTTTGACCACTTTTGTCTAAGACATATTTTATGGATCCATCGATGGATAAAATCTCACCTGATCGCACCCACCTTCATCCAGATACCACTTGCATTAATAATATTATCACAGAGTGTCGCCTTCGCGATCCACCACGCGCGTGGAAACATCTTAATCTCTTGTAGCCAGCCTAACCAGCAATGTGGGATGTTGTCAAGGAGCCACAGAGCTATAAGATAAGAAGACGACTTGCGATAACTGCCGATGAATCAGACAAAGAGAATGTCACAGGGGCTTCTTCATTCTCCGTGAGCTCCAACTAACAAACCGAACATCGTTTCCTATTGTCAGAGGCTTCATCGATTATGCCGTTGCTTTTGATTTAATGGACAAAGGAACGCTCTTGCAGGAGATAAGTCATGCTCGATGTTTCAAAAACAGGACTCATCGAAGTATTTTACTGCCGCAAAGGCGTGTGCGCACAGGGGAACTGAAGGGTAGCTCATTAGACGCCAAACACTACGGTGAGCGACTTCAAAAGCGAGAAGGCCCAACCAATAGGGTGACGCGAGATTTTGAACGCAAAAGCGATACGGCGGCGGAGAAGCGAGCGACTTGGCCGGCTTCAGGCACTGCGCAGCGTCGCAAAACGCCTTATTTCCGAGTCACCAGCCAGCCAAATCAACAATTGCGCGAGTAAGCGCAATAATTAATGCAGTAACAAAGATGGAAATACTGGCGCGACGCTCCAAAAACAATATAAAACCAATGCAGCTGAGTAATTACATTATGAGGAATGGCAATTTGACAATTATATTATTAAAAAACCTTTCAAAAAATTTTAAAAACCACCAACCGCGAAAAATTTCACACTGAATACAGCCCGCTGACCGGGAAAAAGCCGACAGATTTGATCCGACAAATAGAAATGGGGTTGTTCAATCATTTCAGTGAGTCGCTTCGGAGGAATGATTCGATTGTGAATTGTTTGGAATATATGAGATTTAATGGATTTTAGTAGAGAATGTCGGAAGTAATTAATTTCGACCGAATCGGGGTCCTTCGAGGTTTTGCGAACATTCTTACAGCTCGTACAGTCTTTGGTTTGGCCAGTTTCGCTTATTATTTTGGATGAAAGAGTGAACGATGAGTGTTGTTTTCGGTTTTTTGGATAAACCACCTCTCTAGGATTCATTAATATACTTCGAATTAAATTGTAGTTCGCCATCTGTAGCTAAAATGCAGCTCCCTGGAGAACTAAAATGCAGCTGCAGTTATGTCTAGCATTGTTGCCAGTGAAATAAAAATTCGAGTTCGAGTGCTAAATAAGAGGTCCGCTTATTTTAAATGCGATGATGGACGGGATGCGCAAAGCACGCTTTGTTATCTGCGGGGTTGAGAGGTCTTAAACGCATAAATGATGTCAGAGCCTAGAGTAGAGTAATAGGTGCAATATCTAAAATGGAAGAAAGGCTTGTGGAACTAGGTCGCCGCTGCTGCCCCCTTCCCCTTATCCAGATATCTCGTCCATTGCTCTTATATTTTATTCACAGTTCTGTTTCACTCGCCAGTTCTGTTGAATCGCTCTGCACACTGATACACCGCGGGGCTTGTAAACGTCTTATCCTAGCGGGGTAAGCGGGGAGAATTCAAAATTAATGTTTTGTCGTAAATTTTATTAATTGTGATTTTTTTCAGTAAAATTCCACAAAAAGTTTATTCGCTTTTATTCGATGTTTCATTTTGGTCGAAATCTTTTTTGCAGTAAAGTTGTTCAGCTGCTTTGCCGAAATTCGCCTCTAATTTCTTTTTGAATTTTCTTTAAAATTTTTTGAAGTTTAAAATTTATTTCATTAATTTTATCACAAAAAGAAAAATGAGGCTGAATAAATCATTGGAACGAATCGCTCAGTGCTGGGGCTCTGTTCGCGGCGAGAGTGTGTTTCTTTCGATATCTTTCGAATATACGAGCGATGTCGGCGATCTTCCTGCGCTTCTATCACCAAATGATGCAAAATTTGCCTAGTCGGGCAAGTTAGCGGCGTGAATCTTCCCAGAAATGGTAAAAATTCATCTCTCTTGTTTAGAGTAAACTTGTCGTCTGAAGCGAAATTCCGCTACGACCTCACTTTACATCTCTAGGCGCAAGTGATGAAAGATCTACCAAATATTTAATCATCAGTAGAGGGAATCAAATCAGAAATGGTGTATGTCGGATGAACAGATGGAGTAAAAGTATAGTGACGATCAGTGGTTTGCTAATTTTGTTTCTATTAAAAGTTTTCTATAAAAATGGGAAAGTAAAGAAAACTACGTTATTCTACTGGTCACTGTGATTCATTATCGTTATATAGCTTGCTGCTTTAGGTGTCTTCTCTCTTCAGGAACCAAAGTTAATGTTACTCTACTAGGGTTTAGTGCTGTGTGGTTTGTTGCGTAAAGTCTCTAATCTCATCCCAACTGAAAAAATTTAATCCAATCTTTTATCGATTTCATTCAATTATTTGAAAGAATTTGAAAAAAAAATTTCTGGAATAGTGAAATTGGAAATTAAATATGGAAAAAAAGCAACTTTATTTTTTATTTATTTATTTACACTGTTCAGAAGACTCAATGATTGTTGCTTTCGCTCTGGAGTGCCAATGCTGCGATTCCGTTTCCGGCAAGAGAATATGATTTTAAAAAATCCGGGTGATGCTGGCGAGTGACTTGCATTTTAATCTTCAAGTGACTTCCTGGCAAAATTTATCATCCATTCATCAATCAGTTAAACATTTTATTACCTCTTAACTAGCCTCAGAGCAAGTCAGAATCAACCTTCCTTAGGTTTGCATTAGAAAGAGCTGCTCGCTGATTTCAAATAGTGGTGTATCAATGTCGCTAACCATCCTTTTCCATCATTTTAAGTCCATATATCGCTGGTCCACATATGTCTTTCAAAGGTGGTTTAAGAAACATGGAATTGGAGATGCATTGAGACGATTAAAAAAGTACAGGTTGGACTGATAATGGAGAATGAGAACGTGGGCACGATTGAAACACTTTTCGCTTGTCTGAGATATCGCCTAAGATATGTGAGAAATAATCAAGTGCAGTTTTTAATGCATGTTTAGGCAATGTCACAAGCAACAATCGACGCTACAGTGCGACTGTTCAGAACTGCCAGAAAAATACTGATTTCGAGATCTATTCGACTATTTTGCAAAAATACTGGCAATATAAGCCATAAAAAACCCAAACATAAGTGTTTCCAAAGAATTTCTTTCATTGAATTTTGCCTCAATTTTTTATTACACTAGAGATCAGTTCTAGATGTACTGTGTGCTCAACTTCGCTCAACTTTATTTGAGATATCAAAGGGATTTGTTAAAAACAGTTTATCAGCTTCTTTTTTCTTTTTGTCTAAATAAGAACTGTGGCAACTGGCAATACTAAGAAATTATTTTATAGCATGAATAGCGGTAACGGTAATTTCTTTTGAAATGTTTGTATTAAAAAAATTTTTTAACTGATAATTTCATGCATTATATACCGGAAGAAATTTATTTTTCCTCTACTGTTTAAAATTCATTATGTTCATATGAATAGAAATATCAATGAAAAAGCCAAATGTTATTTTGGAGTCTTCAAAGTGGGTTGATTTTTTCCAAATAAATTATGTCTTAAATGAAGCTAAAAAGTCGCAAGACTTTGCCTCGA